ACAAAGAACTTGAATACTTTATCAGATCTATTTACAATTAAGATTATTGGAAATTGAATGTACTTTGCATTTTCAGTGCTACAGCTTGTTTGAATACAAAATGGCAGAAATGGAAGAACTTAATGAGGTGAAATTGCGACAAAGCATTTCTTACGAATCCACTAAATGTAGTTTACACGAAATGAAATTTGCTTCAAAATCTAACTGACGTTGGTACGTACATTTATATAATATTCAATCAAAATGACATTTCATATTGATTTAAATTTACTCTGAATATATATGTTCTACAAGTGTCGTTTTGTATACCCAAAAATCACATTTGATATTTCTTTAATTCAAAACCATATATTTTTTTAGTGATTTAAAAGAGATTCCGATATTAAAATACCATACGAAATCAAGGAGTATGAAAAGATGTCACACCTAGGAAGAAACACAAATAATAAAACTCAAATGGAATTTTTTACATTATGATCAGGTAATACTGTCGCATATTTTCAACTCTAATAATAAATGTAAGGTAACTAAGCCCGTTTTAAATTATAATACAGTAAATGCATACTTTAATGTGTAGCATCATAAATTCGAATAAACTACGACGACGCATTTGTGATGATGCAGTTACTTTCTATTTTCAAAGTTGGATAAGCTATTTGAAAAACAGTTATATGAGCATAATAAAAATAAATAATGTAAACTTTTCACTTAAAATAATGCAGTAATGATTTGCTCATTTGTTGAATTGAGACATTTTAAACTATTTAGCATTCGCGATACTTTCTTTTTAATTACGATTCAATTCGAGTTTTTATATGGCATTGCATACCAATAAAACTTCAGATTCGTGTTTCATTCGATCTCGCTTGAGTGCCACACCTTGAAGACTCAAATTTAAAGTACTCAAAATGGTATTCACAAACAATCTAGCAACCAAAATCAAATAATACTTATCAATGATTCAGTTTAAATTTTGGTTCTCTCACCATTCCATTTTGCATTCATAATTAGTTAATATTTGATATTAATATGCTATTCCAGCATAACCGATCTTAGTCTCAAAAATTAAGATTTGCGTTTTTGGAATAACAAATTTAGTTATCGTTATTGCGTTGTGTAATTAATGTTTACCTTGTAATAAACATATTGCTGCCGTCGCAACGGGAAATCCCGTGATTACGAAAATTCTGGAATAATGCAAGATGATCTTGAGTTTTAATTCACTGCCTTAACCAATAATAAGAATTTCCTACAAAATTCTTTGCGTTCTCAAGATTTGGTTATCATTAGAAATTCCATGCAAAACTTCGTATCATATGTTATTCCTTTGATCCATAGAAATGATTACATTTTTTTTTACAAAAATTCACATTTGTATCTTACATAATAATTATACGTTATTTTATTTTAAATTTATTATATTCCTTTATCTCGAAGCATAGCCATACTCCTTTAATTCAAACTTTTTACTTTAGAACCTGTAAATTATGTATTGAATTATGACCTGTAATCTAAATAGTTATATAATAGCCGAATATTATATAAAGGATAGCTTTCGAAGATCTGGAGACAGGCAGTGTGTGTTTTGAAGAAAAATAATAAAAAAGTATTTAACTCTTATCTAACTGCGTCTCGACTTTTATTTCTTTTATGTCATAACAATATCGATAGTTTGATTTCTTTTGTGCTTAACAAAATCGAAGGCTTTTCTGCTTTGGCCATACAAAGTTGATGCATCGCTTTTAGATTCTTTCGGTATCGATTTTATTATGTCATCTTTTTTACACTTGAATCAATATCTAACTTTTTTAACATGTATTTTAACAGCATTAACAATAAATGATGACGAGTAATTTTTGGTTACTTTGCTTTGTTTTAACTAAAATTTGAATAATTCCATTGTATACTGACTAATTTAAGAACTACGTGCATGTATATGCAAGAATTTGAATAGGTCAAAATGAAAAAATCAGAATATATATTAATGCAATACACGAGATACATAAATAAATATAATAAGGTCAAAATATATATTTAATTATGAGAACAGAACGAATACGAAAGA